ACAGACACACAGTAGATGCTCCATAAAGTGTTGATGTTCTTCATAAGTACCAGGTACATACTATTGTTTCCACATATTGGTGGATAATCAATGAACATCTTTGAATGCTTACCATATGCCAGGATATGTTTATGTACTTTCAGCTAGATTAAACTCCTAACCAGATGCTAGGCTACAAGTAGGCTGTGTATCACTGACCATTGAGATCATGGCTTCCCTCATGGCATTCCCCACCTGCACCTGTCCTGTGTACAAGGATGCTCAACACAGTTCTTGAAGGGCATTTGTGAACAGTGGCATGTTTTCTATAAAACCAACGAGCAAGAACAAGTTGCTGCCACATTGTTCCCAGGTGACATTATTTTAAGGAAGAAGGTTCCTTGGGGGCTCCAAACACCTTCTGTATGGCTGTAGTCTCTGCGACATAAACTCCTGCAGCTGGGGAGGAATGACGAACAGCTGAAAATCCTTGAAACAGGAGCAAGTCATAGAAGGGGGGGGGGGGGCAGCCCTGAAGTCACCGAATAGAATGTGCAAGCCAGATTTCCCAGCTCTGCAGAGTACACCCCTGGACTGCCACAGCAGGCAGCTCTGCCGCCCATATGTTGGCTCTGCCATGGGAACTGTGACTCAGTATATCCTCAGATATCCTCTTTGAAGCAGCTACTCTGAGCCAGAGGGGAGTTTTTCTTGTCTTCACTTGCTCTTAACCATGATGTCTATATTTACCCACCATGATTTTCATTTTTTTTCCCTGAATACTGAATCCTGAAAGGGACTATTTTTACCCCTTGCTCTTTGATTCTGCAAAAGCTCAGATGCAAAATGTCTTCCTTAGCTGCTGGCCCAATGGCCTCCACTTTGTGTCCTGCTTGCGACCAGCCTTTTGTATTCTCTTTGCTCCAACTTAATTACATCAGTATCTGCATCCTCCAGTAGAGTGTGAAAATGTTATACTTTTATTGAATGACATAAAGTCTGTCTAATCTAAAGTATTAATCTACCTTAATTAAGCTGTCTCCTTAGTATTGTGGTGCATAGCAGTGTGCTCCTGTAGGAGCTGTTTGAACAGGTTAGAAAGTCCCTGCCACGAAGGATTTAGGTGAGGGGCCTTTCTAAGTGGAGTTCAGAGTTCAATTTTAAAAGTACCGGAGTGGGCTGGGGGTGTAGCTCAGAGAGAGCATAGTCATGGTGGTCCTGGGTTTGATTCTGAATATGTACATAATAGATAGATGGATGGATGGATGGATGGATGGATGGACGGATGGACGGACAGACAGATAGGTAGATAGATGGATGGATGGATAGATAGATAAATGGAAGATAGATATATAAATAGATAGATAGATAGGTGGATGGATGGATAAATGGATGATAGATGATAGATAGATAGATAGATAGATAGATACATACATACATACATACATACATACATACATACATACGTACATACATACATAGATGGCTCTGTTTGATGACCATCTTTGTGATGTGCTCATTCACTTGGTAGACTTACCTATATGAGAAAAAAAAATCTTCTGCATTATTGACCTTGGAAAAAAGTAGCAAGTATTACACCTTTTTCTTATGAAAACAATGAGGTGAAATATGTCTATAGGAATTTAGGGGTCTTGCATTGGGTTTGAAAGACACGCTTCCAAGGTCCCATGGGAACAGAATTAACCCCTAATAGTGCACCATGTCCCTGAGTCCTTGTTCCAGATGTACCTGGGTTAAAAGCCCACACATCTAGAATCCCAAATGTTCCAGGTGACTGAGCATGGCTGATATTAGAATCAGGTTCCCAAATATTTAATGTAGTTGGCCAACCATCTCAAATAACCTTATGAAGAGTTAAAGTTCTACAGGTAACATTTGGAGATATCTTTACATTTCTTTGTTTGGGGCTTTTCCAAATTTCAAAGCCTTGGCATATTTGCCATGTAGCGATTCTGGCAGGACAGTCATTTATAAAACAAGTTTAGAAGGAAGTGAATCTGAGACACACTCTTAGCAGCAAAATAGGGAAGTTAAGAATATTTAACTTCCATTAAGTTGTTAGGTACGAATGCCAGCCTACTATTACATGAATCATCTTCCTCTAAGAAGTGCTTCCAGCTCAGAACTGGAATTGCTCGTTAAAATGAGTTCTAATGGTGAGGGTGCCAGAACCTGCCGACCCTGGTAATCAGATTGGTGACTACCCCAACTGTCATCATAGAGCCTTCATCCAGTAACTGATGGAAGCAGATGCAGAGGTCCACAACCAAGCACCAGGCTGAGCTCCAGGAGCCCAGTTAGGGGGATTATTTGAGCAAGGGCGGTCGTGATGGGGAAATCTACAGAGACAACTGAACCAAGCTCATAGGAACTCACAAACTTTAGACCGAGAGCTGTGGAACCTGCATGGGGCTGGACTAGACCCTCTGCATGAGTGAGATAGTTGTGTAGTTGGATCTCTTTGAGGGGCCCCTGACAATGTGATCAGAATCTATCCCTGGTGTATGATCTGGCTTTCTGGATCCCATTACCTATGGTTGGTCACTTTGCTCACCCTTGAGGCAGGAGGGAGGGCCTGGGCCCTGCCTCAACTGAATGTACCAGGCTTACCTGTCCCCCCCATGGGAGGACTTACCCTTTTGGAAGAGGGGATGAGGAGTGTGGGGGGAGGTTAGGTGGGGGTGGGAGGAGCAGGAGAAGGGATGAGAGGGGAATCTGTGGTTAGTATGTGAAATGAATAAAAAAATTTTAAATAAAAAAGTAAATAAATGAAAAATAAAAATAAATCATTAAAACAAAAAAATGATGGCAGAGTCATAGTGTATATTAATGGTTTCATTTTGCTTTTAACCACTGATGTAAGATTTTGATAAAGTTGAAAATGAACTCAACAGAGACTGACAAATCTTGCTTGAAAGAACACTTACCAAAGTTCACAGTTCATTTTTAAGAATGTTTTTATTTTAACCTTTATGTTACATTCCAGTAAGACTCATGGTTATTATTAAGGTACTTTATAAATATAAAAATAAATAAATAAAATAAGGCCTAAGAGGGCTTGAGAATACTGTCTAATACAGGATAGTCTATACCCATTCTGAGTTTTACATCTGGCAGAGGTTGTGGTATGTGAGGCTTGCTTAGATATGTTTTCACAGGAAATGGTGTGAAGGCAGGGGATGAAAAGCAGAGTTTCATCTCAGAAGAGAGAAATGCAGCGTATTCCTCCATTGGTCTCTCCTCTGGAGAGCTCCATGCAGCCTACCAAACCCATTGTCCACCGGAAAACCCTAAATGTATCTGAAGGCGGTTAGGGTAATTGTGACGGTGGTGATGATGGTGCTAAGTACCATCATCATCTATAAAACAGAGGTAGATGAAGTCCTTCCAAAGATCATGGGCCCTAACCTGCTTTCAGCCCCAGAGATATGTTGAATGAATAGGATGCGTGGGTGAGTGGCCTCCCCAGAGGACAGTTAATAACTCTCTCTCTCTGAGAACTGTGGAAAGTTTGCTGTTTCCTTCATAAGTAGCTTGTACCCATTCTTTCGATGTTAGGTTGAGGACTGTAGATGTGTAACAGATTTGTATTTCTCTGTTGATTTTACCTGCATTTGTAAATGTCTCGGGCTACTACTTCTTTTGAAAACTTTTCTTTTCAGCTTTATTTATATTATTATTTTATGTGTCGGAGTGTTTTGCCAGTGTGTATGTATGTATACCATATGCCTGCCTGGTGCCCATGGAGGTCTGAAGAGGGCATCAGATTCCTGGAACTAGGGTTACAGATAGTGTACAGACAGTGAGTCACCATGGAGACGGCGGGGTCAAAACATGTCCTCTACAAGAGCAATAAGGGCTCTCAGTCTGTGCCAACTGTCCAGCCTCTGAGGCTACTGTTTCATTGAGAATCGCTTTTGTGATGTTATGCCTTTCATTTCTTTTAAAATTACATTTACTGTTTTGTGTGTGTGTGCGCACTCATGTGCACACACATACACACGCTCACTCATATGTAGAAGTCAGATGGCACAGTCGCAGATGGAGTTGGAGTGGGTTTCTGCCTTCCACTGTGTAGGATCTGGGAATTGAACTCAGGTTGTCATGCTTAGCAACAAGTACCTTTACCTGCCCCAGCCATCTTGCCAGCCCAAAGGTTTACATTTTTGTATTTTATGTAGTAGTGTTTTATCATGGAAACATCAACTGATGAGATCCTGTAACTAGACTAGGAGTGATAGTTTGAGAAATCTTGCCTCTTATGAGCGTCAAGAGAGTCCCTGGGACCTGAAATCTGTTTCTTGAACTTTCTCTCACAAACTTTAGGAAATTTATGCTGAGCGTGCAGGCATACACCTGGAGCCTCAGCACTTGGGAGACTAAGGTGGTAGGATCGTGAGTTCAAGGCCAGTATGGATGACACAGCAAGACCCTGGAACTCTAGGTTACCCAGCAAGTCTGAGAGAGATGGTGGGAGGGAGGAGGAAGAGGAAGGAAGGGAGGGAAGAAAAATTTAAAAAAAAGTACAAGAGATAACAGAGAAATCCCGGCTATTCATGGTGGATATCTTAATGACACCCTGTCGGTCATACTTCTCCAGTGATATGAGTTGTTCTCCATCAGCAGGGAACAAAGAGAGGCAGAGGTGTCAGCTGTATGGTTACAGGGCCTTTAAAAGGGAGAGGGAAACATTGCATAGAAATAGTCAAAAAGTTGTAACTATTTTATTATTATGTGAATGAGATGCAGGGTGCAAGTGTGTTCTTCAGGGGCCTGTGACACCCCCACCCATCACTGCCGTGCTTTGGAGAGCCCCACCTCAGGGTTCCTTAGCCCCCCGCAGCTCAGGGATGGACTGTGAGGCGATAGTTCTGAGGGTTCATCTCCAGGTCATGGAGCTGCTCTCCCCTTGGTCCTCAGGATGTGAAGGTGGCGCTGGATGCGTAGGAGTCAGCTTTTCATATCCCTGATGGCTTTTGCTTTTGTGTTGTCTTTTCTAGGTTTGCTGGCATGGGAAACTTGCTCAAAGTCCTGACCCGGGAAATTGAGAATTATCCGCACTTTTTCCTGGATTTTGAAAGTAAGTTCTGAGCGCGATGACACAACAATGGAAACTTTGCACTTGTTTGGTGGGCCTTGTTCATAGGGAAGTTATAGAGATTTTTGTATGAGATGCAAACCAAATCCAAATAGCATCATGCACTTCTTCCTGACATTGTTTCTAAGCTGTTTTCCTCCACCCTGTCTTTATGATTTTTAGAAGCCCAAAGAAAGGTTTAATTTAATTGGTCCATGGTTTTCTTTGATATAAGGATTAGCTTTGGTATTATTTTTTTTAAGGTTTATTTATTTATTATGTATACAGTGTTCTGTCTGCACATATCCCTGCAGGCCAGAAGAGGGCACCAGATCTCAATACAGATGGTTGTGTGCCACCACGTGGTTGCTGGGAATTGAACTCAGGACCTTTGGAAGAGCAGCCAATGCTCTTAACCTCTGAGCCATCTCTCCAGCCCGTGCTTTGGTATTATATACATAAAACTTTACCATAAATCTTCCCTAATATTTTTTATTTTATGTAAATAACATTTTTCATTTATTTTACATACCTACAGCAGTTTCCCCTCCCTTCTCACCTCCATCCCACCCCCCATATTTCCCAACTACCCCTCTCCCCTTTCACTTCTCCTCTGTCTCCATTCAAAAAGGGGCAGGCCTCCCATAGGCTTGAACAAAGCATGGCACATCAAATTGAGGCAGGACCAAGCTCCTCCCCTGTGTCAAGATTGGGCAAGGTAATCCAGCATGGGGAACAGGTTCCCAAAAGCCAACTATGCGCCAGGGACAGGTCCTGATCTCACTGTTAGGAGCCTTACAAAGAGATCAAGCTACACAACTGTCACACACATGCAGCGGGCCCAGGTTGGTCCCATGCAGTTAGATCTCTAACTGTTGGTGCAGAGTCTATTAGCTCTCACAAGCTCAGGTCAGTTGTTTCTGTGTGTTCTCTGTCATGATCCCCTGGCTCATACAATCCCTCCTCCCTTTCTTCAGCAAGACTCCCAGAACTCAGTCCAGTACTTGGCTGTAAATCTCTGCATCTGCTTCCATCAGTTACTGGATAGAGTATCTCTGATGACAATTAGGGTAGTCACCAATCTGATTATAGTAGATGGCCAGTTCAGGCACCCTTCCCACTATTGCTAGGAGTCTTAGCTGGGGTCATCCTTGTGGATTCCTGGGGGTTTCCCTGGCACCAGGTTTCTCCCTAACCCCCAAATGTCCCCCCATCAAGACGTCTCTTTTGTTACTCTCCCCTTACATGTCCTGCCTCCAACCCCACACACCCAGCCTGCCCAACCTACTCCCTCAAGTTCCCATCCCCTCCAGCTCTCCACCCCTGCCCCCAGTTTACCCAGGAGATCTCTTCTAGTTCCCCTTCCCATGGAAATTCATGCATCCCTCTTTGGTCCCTCCTTGTTATCTAGCTGCTCTGGGGCTATGGACTATAGGTTTGTTATCCTATACTTTACTCCTAATATCCATTTATGAGTTAGTACATACCATGTTTGTCTTTCTAGGTCTGGGTTACCTCACTCAGAATGATTTTTTCTAATTCCATCCATTTTCCTACAGATTTCATGAGGTCGTTGTTTTTTACAGCTGAGTAATACTCCATTGTATAAATGTACCACATTTTCATTATCCATTCTTTGGTTGAGGAGGATCTAGGTTGTTTCCAGGTTCTAGCTATTATGAATAATGCTGCTATGAACATAGTTGGGCAAGTGTCCTTGTGCTATGATTGAGCATCCTTTGGGAAAACCTAGGTCTTGAGGTAAATTGATTCCCATTTTTCTGAGAAACCACTATATTGATTTCCAAAGTGACTGTACAAGTTTTCACTCCCACCAGCAGTGGAGGAGTGTTCCCCTTACTCCACATCCTCTCCAACATAAGCTGTCATCAGTGTTTTTCATGTTAGCCATTCTGACAGGTGTAAAATGGTATCTCAGAGTCATTTTGATTTGCATTTTTCTAATGACTAAGGATGTTGAGCAATTCCTTAAATGTCTTTCAGCCATTTGAGATTCTTCTGTTGAAAATTCTCTATTTAGATCTGCACCCCATTTTTTAATTGGATTCTTTGGTATTTTGATGTCTAGTTTGAGTTCTTTATATATTTTAGAAATCAGCCCTCTGTCAGAAGTGGGGTTGGTGAACACCTTTTCCCATTCTGTAAGTTGCCATTTTGTCTTATTGACCTTGTCCTTTGCCTTACAGAAGCTTTTCAGTTTCAAGAGGTCCCATTTATTAATGGTTGTGTCAATATCTGTACTACTGTTGTTATATTCAGGAAGTAGTCTCCTGTGCCAATGCATTCCAAGGCTACTTCCCACTTTCTCTTCTATCATATTCAGTATAACTGGATAGATGTTGAGGTCTTTGATCCACATGGACATGAGTTTTATGCAGGGTGATAAATATGGATCTATTTGCATTCTTCTAGATGTTGACATCCAGTTATGCCAGCACCATTTGTTGAAAATGTTTTTTTCCCCATTGTATAATTTTGGCTTCTTTGTGAAAAATCAGGTGTTCATATATGTGTGGATTTATGTCAGGGTCTTTGATTCAATTCCATTGATTCATGTGTTTGTTTTTATGCCAATCCCAAGCTGTTTTTATTACTCTAGCTCTAGTAGAACTTGAAGTCAGGGATGGTGATACCTCCGGAAGTTCCTTTATCATATAGAATTGTTTTAGCTATTCTGACTTTTCTGGTTTTTTCCATATGAGGTTGAGTATAGTTCTATCAAGGTCTGTGAAGAATTGTGTTGGGATTTTGATGGTGATTGCATTGAATCTGTAGATTGCTTTGGGTAAGATTTCCATTTTTACTATGTTAATCATACCTGTCCATGACCATGGTATATCTTTCCACTTTATGATATTTTCTTCAATTTCTTTCTTTTAAGACTTAAAGTTCTTGTCATACAAGTCTTTCACTTGTTTGGTTAGAGTTATTCCAAGATATTTCATATTATTTATGACTATTATAAAGGGTTTTGTTTCTCTGATTTCTTTCTCAGCTTGTTTATCATTTCTATATAGGAGGGCTACTGTTTTTTTTTTTTTTTTTTTTTTTGAGTTAATCTTGAATCCTGCCACATTACTGAAGATGTTTATCAGCTGTAGGAGTTCCCTGGTAGAATTTTGGGGGTCTATAAATAGCAAAAGTTTGACTTCTTCCTTTCCAATTTGTATCCCCTTGATCTCCTTTTGTTGTCTTATTGCTCTAGCAAGAACTTCGAGTACTATATTGAATAAATATGGAGAGAGTGGACAGCCTTGTCTTGTTCCTGATTTTAGTGGAATTGCCTTGAGTTTCTCTCCATTTAATTTGATGTTGGCTGTCGGCTTGGTGTGTATTGCTTTTTATTATGTTTAGGTATGTCCCTTGATATCTCTAAGACCTTTATCATGAAGGGGTGTTGGATTTTGTCAAAGGCTTTTTCAGCATCTAACGAGATGATCATGTGTATTTTTTTTTCAGTTTGTTCATATGGTAGATTACATTGACAGATTTTCATATGTTGAACCATCCCTGCATCTGTGGGATGAAGCCTACTTGCTCATGGTGGGTGTTTTGTTGTTGTTGTTTTTAATGTGTTCTTGGATTTGGTTTGCCAGTATTTTATTGAGTATTTTTGCATTAATATTCATGAGGGAAAGTGGTGTGCATGCAATTCTTTCTTTGTCGCATCTTTGTGTAGTTTGGGTATCAAGATAACTGTAGCCTCATAAAAAGAATTTGGCAATGTTCCTTCTGTTTCTATTATGTGGAACAATTTGAGGAGTGTTGGTATTAATGACTGTTTCTACTTCCTTAGGGGTAATAGGTCTATTTAAATTGTTTATCTGGTCTTCATTTAATTTTGGTATGTGGTACCTATCAAGAAAACTGTCCATTTCTTTTATATTTTCTTGGCAAGGGACAGGAAAATATTTTTGTTTAAAGAGACTGAGGAATATTGACTCCCCCCCCCTTTTTTTTAAATAATTTTTTTTAGCTGCATCTTGAGCCTGGATAGAAAAAAACAAACTTCTCTATGTCTACACAAGCAGTTCCTTTTCTACACAGAAGTTTCATTTCTATTCAAAAATAATTCACAAGTCACCACAATTAATAAAACATATATGCATACACAAAACAATTCATAAGTCATCACAGTTAATAAAGTCTATATGCGCAAGTGAATTCAATCTTGCTCCCTTTCTGCAGTCTGAAAAGTTCAAAAAGTCAGTTCTGATACCAGTCTTCATGTTCCACAGACAGCCTAAGATCAGGGTCAGGCTAGTCAGCCGCCCTGAAGTCTTCGTATAGCTGTCCAAGTCATAAGTGAACAGCTCCAAATATGAGGAGTCCCATTACCAAAACTTTTTGCAGTTCCCCTTGCATTCAACCCATTTCAAATCAGCATCTCTGAAGCCTCACTCTGAGCTACAGAGGCATTTTCAGTTAGTCTTCTCCTAGGCCATTTGATCTAGGGCAAAAGCTGTTAAGTGGTTGAAGAGCACCTCTTTGTACAGCCAGCACGAACCAACAGCAAACGAACTGCCCCTTTTGCTGCTGGCTCCATTCAACTTCCACAGTCCTGGACTGTCTGTGCCTCCTGTCACTGGCATGTCCACACAGGTTTCATTGCTATGAGATATGGCTCTCATTCAGCAACACTGGGTAAACCCAGCCTTGGACAGTCATGGCTGCTGCACCCCCACCTGCTCTGCCGGGGCAGCACAGCCAAAAGCCATCCCAGGGCATCTCCATGGCTCAGCCTCATCCTGCTGCTGGGAGCTCAGGTTGGCCTAGGTTCCTGTGTCTCAGCCATTCAGCCTGGAGCACGGCTCTGCCTCACCTGAGAAGTTCTGGATTTGCTATTCCATGCAAGGGCATGTCTCAGCTGCTTGTCCAGCTACTGCTTCTCTGCCCTGGGTATCAGCCTCTCTGAAGGGCATTTGATGCTTGTTGCTGTTCTCTGTTGGTGTTAGCCTCTCCTGCGGTATCTCTGCTGGGCT